TCTTTCCCCGAAACCACACTTTGTATGGGTCACAGAAAACCTAGGATACTGGCCAACTTTTCTTATACCCTCCAGAGGAGGTGTTGCAGAGCCATGGAATGACTGAAGAGCTGGCAGCTAGGAGGAGGGGCAACGTTAGGGGCAGTGAAGAATCCTCCCCTGGATAATCCAGCATGAACAGCACCTCAGATCCACCCACCTCCCCAATGTCCCTCCCACTTTTGCTGTCTCAGTCTTCCAAACCAAGCGTGAGGCCCCACTCTACCAAACCTTGTCACCCTTGGTTACCTACACCCAAGCCCACCAATGCACTGAGCCACCACTCCCCTCTCTGCAGCCCAAGGGGAATGTGCATGCCATCAGAGAGCAGGATCGGTGCATGGCCCTCCACCCTCTCTGATCCCACTGGCATCACAGGACCTGTGAATGTGGGGAGAGAGCAGTGCAGGTTGCAGTACAAGAGTTTACTGGGAGTGTTAGGACCTGGCTAAAGTTTGCTTATCCAAGGGAGCCGTGAAACATAAATCTATTGGAACATTATAATTTTTTCCCCAGCATCCCTAGCATGGCGGTTCTGTGGCTCTGAGCATCTTAGGCACCCAGTCCCTGCCCTATCTGCCCTCGTGCACCAGCAATCACCCCTCTTCTAGAAGACTGCTGTCTGACTCTTTGTGCGCACAGTGCAAAGTGCTTTAACTTTGGCATGACTACATCACTTCCTGAATATGACCTACAGAAACAACCCAGATGGCAGAAGCATGTGGCCCCTCCATCCCATGTCTCCCTTCCCTGTAGTTCCCTTGTTTAAAAAAGCTCCTAAACGGAAACAAGACAGCACCAACTCCTGACATATTTTATTCTGTTTTCTTTTCTCTTACCCTACAATATTCTGCTTTGGCATTTGTAAAGAATATGGTGTTAAGATGTTCTTTCAGGTTGAAGTTCTGTCTAAAAGTGGTTAGAAACTAAAAAGACACTTTGTTTTCAAAATTCAGTAATTTTATTAATGTTTTCTGATTACATCGTCCCTTTGTAAAAACAACAATTCAAACAGCAAAGAAAGGAGAGAAAATAGCCTGCAATCCTTCTCTCCTAAGCTTTTTTCTGTACATACATTTTTTTTTCTAACAAGAAAACTTGAATCACACCACAAACATTATAGTATAAGCTGCTTCTTTTTCCAGTCATATACTGTAAGGATGTGGAGAATCTTTCCATATCAGTAATAATCATGTACATTCTCATTTTTAATGGCTGCCTAGTATTCCATGGTATGACTGTGTCATTATTTATGTAACTGCTCCCCAGTTGACTGACATTCAGGCTTTACCAGCTTTGCTTCCTGTGAACAGTGGGAAAACCTAAGGGACAGTTTTTTTGAGGTACTCGTACAGCGAGCCTTGGTAATAACTGAGTTCACGTGTGTTGGTCTTCAACCGAAGCTCCTTTTATGTTAATAATCCACTAATGAAGGTCATCAGTTAGTGTTGGCATGAGCTCTATGAAAATACACAGCATAATGTGGGCTCTTGCCTTGCATTCCATCAGGATCAGGCGGGTCATTAGGGGACCTGTGAAACGCCCCTCCCCACTGTCCTGTTGTGCCACTAGGCTACTCCACAGGCTTCGAGAAAAGACTTCTCCCCTCTTCCTCTAAAGGTGACCCTGGATGCCTTTTCTTTCTTTCTGTTTTGGGGTTTTCCTTTCATGACCATCACAAACCTAGACACTCCCTTCTTTCCCACTTTTGAGTCTGGACTTTCAAAGTTGTTAATGCCAGGTCCTCTGGGTTCTCCTTTCCTGCCACCTTCCTAGCCCTCTGCTTGCTGGAAGACAAGTCTTGAGACATCCATTCTTGGTTTTGCAATCAGTTGCAAAAACACCCCTCATGCCTTCCATAAATCCTGCGTGAATAACCACAACCAATTCTCCCTATCTTCAGTGGCCTTTATAAGTGCTGTGTGAGTCGTGTTCTTGTAAAACACACAAGAAAAAAGGAATCGGGAACCACAGGGACGTCAGACTTAATGGGTGTGTAAATGAATGTTAATAGTTCTGCTCTGTACAGCAGGGTCTGGTGCAAAGTCAGATTGGGTTCACATCCAGTGGATTTAAAGTGGGGCCCTACTGTTTTGTTGGGAGTAACCAAAATAGATGGCTGCCTTGTAATAAGCATAGCTGTCAATGTGCAAACTTACAATGATTAATGCCTTCTTGTTGATTTTCATTTCTCATTAGGAAAACTTAGCAAGACTCCAGAGGGCCTTTGCAAGGAAGTGGGAATTCATCTTTATGCAAGCAGAAGCACAAGTAAAGTAGGTGAACTTAATAGAGACCCTTGCAAAGAGAAAAACACTCTCTGGAAATCAGAGGTGGTGTGAGAGTGGGGGTTCCTTCCATGGCCAGCCAGCTATGGTTAGTCACTGTCTCTCTCATGACAGCAACTGAGTAGAAATCAAGTTCAGGATGCATAAGTTGCATCTCTGTCACCCATGGCACTCTAAAACAATTTCCAAAGCGTGTGTTTGAGCAGGCAATGGGGCTCCTCCCAAACGTAGAACTCTGGTCCTAAGAAGATGTACCTAATTCCCAAGGAGATTTCCAAATCTTCTGTGCTCAGAGGCTAAAAACCATCAGACCCACTTTACTTGTTGGTCTGGAAATTTGGTCTTCATAGGAAAACGTACTGGAGTTTTAGGCAGGCCAAAAAGTGGCCCTTCCACCGTATCTCCCGAGGGGAGGGGTTCAGAACTAATCAGAAATAAAGCACAGACATCAGACATTTGGAGTCTGAAATGTCAGATTGTTACTGATAAACTAGTTATAGGACATGATTTTGGATCTGTGACCACAGATCTTTACCCTGGAATTAAACATCCTGGGCAGAGCTGGGTATCTGCAGGGCTGTCCCACCTCAGGGAAGAGTCCAGCCCTGTAAGTTTACTGCACGCAGCAGAGAACAGGTGTCCTGAGAATAGGCTGACCCAGACAGGGCCCAGAAGGACCGACCTCAGCTTTCTAAATTTCTTTTTTTTTTTAATTTATTTATTTAATTTATTTAATTTTGGCTGCGTCGGGACTTCGCTGCTGCACGCAGGCTTTCTCTAGTTGCGGCGAGCAGGGGCTACTCTTCATTGCGGTGCGCGGGCTTCTCATTGCGGTGGCTTCCCTTGTTGCGGAGCACAGGCTGTAGAGCCCAGGCTCAGTAGCTGTGGCGCATGGGCTTCCTTGCTTCACGGCATATGGGATCTTCCTGGTCCAGGGCTCGAACCCTTGTCTCCTGCATTGGCAGGTGGATTCTTAACCACTGCGCTACCAGGGAAGCCCCAGCTTTCTAAATTTCTTCTTTCAAATCTGCCAATAAGTTAAGTCTACAAGAGATGAAAGGAGGAGAAAGTTGGAGTGTTTTTCCCATATTCTTCCTTCCCAGCGAGTTGTAGTGGAAATTCCTTCCTCTCTAAGGAAACAGAAGAAGTGGGGGAAGTAAATGTCCCCCACCCCACAAACATGGTCATCAACCAGATCCTTTTGATTCTGGCAAATGGACTTGCTCAGGTGCAGTTCTCTCTTATCCTTTCTAGCAATGGGCTCTTATTTAGCTTCAAGTGATAATGGAAGAAATGGGGCAGAAGAGTGGGTGGGAAAGGGATGCTGAGCTGGGAGGAGGTGAGTACCTTTTCTCTGGGCACCACTTGCACCTGAGCAGCCCCCGTGGGTCTTCAGAGGACCCCCTGTACACTCTCTGGGCAGTGTGGGTGACATTGATCACAGGTACGGTCACAGATGGCAATGACTTGAGGTCACTGGGTCCAGTGGGCCTCATGGTGTCATCGCTCTCCCCCTCCCTTTGCAGTCTCTACCCCCCACCCATGAATCCACAGGCCTACCCACCACCCCGGTTCTCCCAGAAACCCCCGAGGGAGGTGGACACCAGACACTGGATGCTGAGCTGCATCAGGAAGAGCCTTGGCCCCTGAGGAAGGAGAAAGCAGGAGGGTGGGTGAATAGGTGAGAAGGAGGCAGGATTGAGCCAGTGCACTCAGAAGCCTCCGGGAAGTGAAGAGGAGGGCTGATTTACACTTTCGGGATCACACAGCATCGAATGTTATAAAAGGAGGGAAAAGTGCCACTTTTTACATATGCGGTATTTCTCGATTCACTTTTTTGATGAACTCTGTGATTACATTATAATTGTGGGCCATTTAAGTACACAGTAACTATCACAAAACTCACAGGGTTATTATGACTTTATTTCAGTCAGTCCAATAAACTAAAGTACTCCCAAGAGAGCCAAGAACCAGCAGTTACAAAGCAATTAATCCGAGTTACCTTTTACTTAGAGAGATAATATGAAGTAATACCGGCTTTTTTTTTTTTTTTAACACTCTTATCTATGCGATCACAACATAAAGAATCTGTCTGTCTGTCTGTCTTGCAATTTGTACCTCCCCCAGCTGAGGCCAGAGATATTTGCCTTCTGGATCTTGTCACACACTAGGGTTATTACTTTGCTTTTAGGAAGCCAGATGGTTTAAGTGACTTTTAAAACACATAATTGCAGCATTTTGAAGACATTTCTACTGATTCTGAATCTAAAGCAAACTTTCAAGTTTGAGGATGAAACACTACAAGCCTATGGTTATATTCCTCCCCATAATTTGAATATGCAATAGTAGCCACTTGGATGCGGGGCACGTCAACAACTTATGCAGCTCTTCATAATCCAAATCTTAATAATTCAAATGGACAGCTGCATTCCTGAACCCTCATTAGGCTCACCCTGTTCATTACACATAATTGGTCATTTGCAACCTAGCTGAAAACAAGCTCTCTTACCATGTGTGGGCTCCTTGAGGTTTCCTTGAGGGAACCATACAGCCATATTGTATAGCTCTGCAGAAAGCAGAGACCACACAGGTGCCAAGAGCCCTGTGCACACTAAGCTCCTAAAAAGGGGAGAACAGAGCTGACACATGGATCATGGAGGAAAAACAGAATTAAAAGCCTCTGATTTCCCCTTTTTCACTCTTTCAGGATTGATCGGAAAAAGGACAAGACAGAGAGGAAAATTTTGGATAGTCAAGAACGAGCCTTTTGGGATGTCCACAGGCCAGTGGTGAGAAAGCTCTGCTTAGTTCTCTAAGTTTTACATTTTCTCTCTTCCTTCGCTTAAAAGAAAAGACTGTCTTTAGCCACCAGGCGTCTCACTTTTAAGAAAATTGCTAAGCTTTGTGAAATTGGTTTTGCCATTAATTCATACTGTCTCAGTAGATTTTCTGGAATATATGTCACTTCCACCTTTTAAAAATTATACATCCATGAAAATATGGAATTAGAAATGGGGAGCTGTGGGAATTCCACCTGGGGAACTTTGGGCCCTGAAGTTTCCAGTCCTAAGTTAAGCAATTTCCATTTCTACTGTCATTCAATTCCAACTTCTAGAATGTTCTCTTTCAAATGCAACCGTTGTTGTTACAGTGGTTATGTTCTATGAAGTCGCCGAGAGCACTGAATTAGTGGATGCTGAGCCATTACATTATCCTGGGAGAGATACAGGGTTAGGTTCTTGCAAGCCTCCAGTCACATTTTCATCAACTGATCAATACATAACCTTGTTTGAAGTGTGTTTCGGTTTAAAGACACCTTATTTAATGTATATTGTTGATCACTGGCATTGAACTCGCAGCCAAGAGCACTATAGCTCACGCCTAGATGGAACTTATCTAACATACCTATTTCCTCCTTAAAGCACGTCCCAGCCTTCCTGCACTTAGGAATGCTCGACAGCACATCAGCACTGGGCTTGGGCAAAATCACCAACAGAAACACAAAAATGTGTAAAACTGGTGCTAAATAAACTGTGCAAAGGACACTTGTTTGCAGCATGAGATGAAATAAGAAGGCACCTCACTGGGAACACGTAGGTCTGGCAACTCAACATTTTTCGTGCTCTGCGCACGTCCCAAATGACCATGAAGGCACCACAAGCCCTGACTTGGGGGTTATAAATAAATTTTACCACGTAGGCAAAATCACAAATACAAACTCCACGAATAATGAGGTTTCACGCATTTCTAATTTCGTATTACTAAAATAAGTCTTACATTTTCCTCATGAAATGGAACTAAAACGAATAAGCTATGTCAGCCTTCCTCAAGTCTGATTAAAAGCAAACCACCCCCCAAAAAAAAATTCCCTATCCTGATAGTGGAGTGGTTTTAGATGGTTAGGTATATGAAAGAACAAAGGCTCTGTCTGAAGCCATCCACCAATTTAAATAATAAGTTTACTCTTATAAACTGTACACTGTACTCTCTACTTATCATCCTTAGGTAATATGAGGTAAGCTGTTTTAATTCATATGAGAACTCTGTGGCGGAACACATACTGAAGGTGAAACACCTTTGTAAAAGAAAAAAACTGTAAATGGTAAAATGGGGGTAGTCATGTATTATCTGTAATGGAAAAGATAAAGATTGGTTCTGATAGTGTCACTTGAGCCAACTTGGAAAGTATGATTTTCACTTAGTAATTTATATGATGGTTTTTTCTCTCAGCCAGGCTGTGTGAACACAACAGAAATGGATATCAGAAAATGTCGACGTTTGAAGAACCCACAAAAGGTTAAAAAGGTTCGCTAGTTTAGCTGAATTAAAAATTCTTGGGATCGCCCTTCCATTTCCGGTACTGTTCAAATAATAATTTACTATTTGGAGTTCTTCCCCGTTTCATCCTTTGAAACCATATCATTCATTCTACAAATATTTATGGAGTGGCTGGCGTGTGCTTGGCACCGTTCTGGCTGTGGAAATATAGTGGCAAGTCTTAACAAAGCCCACAGCCTGGTAGGCATGAAGCAAGCCAGCAGGCAACGGTGGGAATTACAAGACGGTTCAGGAGGACCAGGAGGGTGCCCCAGACCAGGGGCTTCCCAAGGGTTTCCATAGCAGGCTCGAGGGTGCAGAGGTCTAAAGGGTAAGTAGCAGTTGGCTCTGGGGAGACAGCAGAGAGGAAGGGAAACATAAGGAACAAAAAGTAGGGCAACACCACAGGCGAAGGCCAGCTTGGTACTTTGACACAAATGCAAGTCTTTTAGTATAGCTAGATCTCCCAAAGTCAAATCACCATCTCACCCAATGGTGAATGATCCAGTGATCATTTGTGTTTCACTATACTGGAAGGGGCAGTGGCTCTCTCTCCTCTATCAATATATATGTTACATGACATATATATCAACTTCTTGAATTCACTTATATATTTTGTTCTTCATTGAGATATTGATGCCCACTGTATTATACTTTAATGTTAGTCTTAAAATGTCCCCATTTAGTCTTTAAAGGCCCCCTAATTCTAATATTCCAGAATTTCATGGAGCCCACACGCACCCTGAGCCTTTCTTGATTTTATAGATTTCAGCTATAAATTGCACACCCTTCAGTGTTTTATTTCTTTCCCAGAACAAAGATTGTCTTTAATCTGTCTCTAAGAAAAGGAACAGATTAAAAAGTAGCTATAGCTGCGGGGAAGTGGAAAATCTGTGTCCAGAAAACTGGTCAGCTTAAAAGGAAAAAATCGGAAACCCTGCCATCTCAAGTTTGTACCAGACAGGCATGTCATCTGCTGACAAAGAGAAAATCTAAAGGGGATCTTTATCTTCCTGCATAATCTTCAGGAATTGTTCCTGAACTTTCCTGTGTCTCAGAATCACCTGGGGCATTTGATGAAAGTGCAGGTTCCCGAACCCCACCCATGAAGATTCTGATTCAGGAGGTCTTGGGTAGAACTCGGCAATGTACCTGTTTACCGAGTACCCAAGATAACTCTTTGCAGATGGTCTATGGACTGTATTTGGAGAAACACTGATACACAAGGAGACCATTAAAGCTCAATGAAAGGAAAGCTTTTCTAATAGTTGTAACTCAAAGATGGACCAGCTGCCTCAAGAGGCAGAGTTCCCATTATTGGAGAATTTCAAGCAGAGGACACTCACTTATTGTCAGGATGTCATGGAGGGGATTGGAAGCATCAGATGAGCACTTGAACTAGCTGACCCTTCGGACCCCCTTCAACTCTGAGGGTGCATGATTCAATATTCTTGTTTCTTCTCTAGTCAGTATATGGCGTGACTGAAGAATCCCAGTCGCAAAGCCCAGTGCACGTCCCCAGTCAGCCAATCAGGAAAACTACAAAAGAGGACATCCGGAAACAGGTGAATGAATGGGCTACCGCACTCTAAGGAGGAGATGTGGCCAGCTTGAAAACCTTTTGAATGTCCACTTCTGGAGGCTGACTGAGCTTTGAGTTCCTGGAAAGCACAGTGGAACACAGCTGTGGGTGACTTGAACCTATGGGCACTGTGTGTGAGTAATTCACGGAGGCTCGAGAAGACAAATTCTCTACCAAGTTACTCCAGCAGTTACTAGAAAAGGACATAAATGAGTTACGCCAACACCATGGGCTGACTGCCGTAGTTGGGTTTCCCCCAAGACGCTGTGGGAGCTGGAGGCAGGAGGGACTCGTGTCACAGCATCCTTAAAATTGTATTGCACTTCCAGAGTAAGCCAGCTCAGGACCACCAACTTTATTGCTCTGATTCAAAACGAAGGTTGACAGATAAAGCAAACCCTACCCACAATGCCATTTCAGCATTATTTGGTTCCATGTTATTTTCCTTCATGCTGAGGAGTTAACTGGTCAACCCAGGTCACAGACAATGCCTAATTACATTACCGCTTTCCAGGGGTTCACCAGTAATGAAGTGACTTGACTTTACATTATGCTTTACTGGCTTCTAGGGGGCACCCAAAGGTATAAACTGTGAGGTGCCTTCCCTTAACGACTTTATTATTGAGTGGGGAAAAGGAAACAGTTGTATGGAAAATAGCTACTCAGTGCCAGTTAAATACACCAAGCACATGGGCATGATGTAGGTGTGAAAGTTGGGTAGGAGATCGCTGGAGATTAGCCAAACCAGATCCTTATGGTGTGTGTGTTACCTCCATGCTGTTGCTAAGCTTTGTAGAATATATACTATATTTAAGTTTTCATTCACTTCTGGGTAAAGAAGATGTGGCACATATATGCAATGGAATATTACTCAGCCATAAAAAGAAACGAAATTGAGTTATTTGTAATGAGGTGAATGGACCTAGAGTCTGTCATACAGAGTGAAGTAAGTCAGAAAGAGAAAAACAAATGCTGTATGCTAACACATATATATGGACTCTAAAAAAAAAAAGTGGTACTGATGAACCTAGTGGCAGGGCAGGAATAAGGTCGTAGACATAGAGAATGGACTTGAGGACACGGGGGTTGGGGGAGGGGGAAGCTGGGGCAAAGTGAGAGAATGGCATGGACATACATACACTACCAAATGTAAAACAGATAGCTAGTGGGAAGCAGCAGCATAGCACAGGGAGATCAGCTCGGTGCTTTGTGACCAGCTAGAGGGGGTGGGATGGGGAGGGTGGGAGGGAGACGCAAGAGGGAAGAGATACGGGGATCTATGTATGCATATGGCTGATTCACTTTATTGTAGAACAGAAACACAGTATTGTGAAGTAATTATACTCCAATAAAGATCTATTTAAGAAAAAAAAAAAACTTAAGCTGTAACACAACACAGGAGAATATGTGATGTAGGCTAAATTATAGAGTGTTTCTTAGTGTGGTAGGAATTTCCAAAAGGGCAAAATGGTTGCTGGAGTGTCGAGTTGGAGGGCTGGAGAAGTCTGTCCAGAGGAGGTGTTTGGATCTTGGTAGAAATACAGGTTTTGGGTTCCTGGGGTGAAGCGGGGGAAAAAATTCCAGTTTGGTCTTAACACTTCTGTTCTGCCTTTCCCCAGATAACATTTTTGAATGCACAGATTGACAGGCATCGTTTAAAAATGTCCAAAGTGGCTGAAAGGTATGTTTCCCCTTAATAATATTACTACTTTCTTCTAATTTAACAAAGGAGAAATATTACAGGGTTATAGCTAACAAGTGTGTACCAAAAGGCAGACCACAGTCATTTCTTAAACTGATGGGTGAAAAAACCACAGACCCTATGTGAGTACAGCTAAGATAGCAGACCTCCCCTGAGTGATGTCAAGAAATGTTCTGTTGCTAAAGCTTTTGAGGGGGGTGGCCGAGGGAACTTGTCAATCAAGGAAGAACATCCTTAAAAGCTACCTAATGCACTTTTACCTTCAGCCTCTTGATTAATTCAAATGGAATTGCTCCCTTTTCGGCTATAAAATGCCCAGATTCACTTTATAAGGGGAAAGAAATTACGTATGCCCTTTGAGGTGCTGGCTGTGCAAACAGGAGGGGACTGGTCCATCAGGAGGCGTTCCACCTCCACACACCATCAACCAGCCAACTGCATGGAATCAACTGTAAAGAAAATATTTGGGACCTCCAGCCTGGCTTCCGCCAGGGCATTTGTGCTACAGTCTGCACCAGGAGCTGGTTTCACCTTGTTAACCCGTGGGAAACTCAATTTTGTCAACGAAACGGTCTGTGTTTGGACTCTCCGTGAAGAGGGGGGACCACCTGGGGAGTCTGTATGGAATAAATCTGAGCAAGCAGCCCCAAGCTGAAGGTTTATTCATCCATATGCTACTGGTAAAGCAATGACCAATATCTGAAAGCTCAAGGGCTTGAGCCGGGTCTTAGTGTTTATTGGCTTTAACAGTAAAGTGGGTCCTTTAAGCCCACCTCACACAGAGGGCTGGCTGTGTGTTCAACCTGTAAGCCTTTCTCTGCTGGCCCCTGGGTTCATCCACATCTTCTTTCTAGATAAATAACAGCAGATTGAGGCAAAGAAAACTCCACACCCAACGCCAAACCGGAATTCACACTTTGCCCTCAAGTGGCCAAGGACATCCCTGGATATGGGCTCATCTCTTCAATGGCATCTTATATCTATTCCAGGACTTCTCAGTAGTGTCACGATTGACATTCTGGGCTGAATACTTGTTTGTTGCAGAAGGCTGCCCTGTACACAATAAGATGTTTTGCAGCATCCCTGACTTCTACCCACTAGGTGCCAAAACCCCACCTCACAGTTTATGACAACCAAAAATGTCTCCAGACGTTGCCAAATGTCCCCAGGAGGGGACAAAATCGACCCCGTTGAGAATCACTGATACTCCCATTTTCCCCAATGCACGTGCTTGAGAACACTGCCATGGCTGGAGCTCACGTCTAGACGAGTGTTCTGGGGTCACAGTTTTAGCCTGGTGGCTGGGGAGCCACCACACCCCACTATCATAATGTGGGGCTTCCAGAGTACAGGCTCTCAGGTTGCTTTTTAGATCTCACTGTGGTTGCCTTTGTCCCAGAAGAGTGTTTGTTAGTGAGGTAGCTGGGAGGACCTTGATTCCATTGGTGTCATAGCCTGTGAGGAACTACAAGCTTCTTTGTCTGTGAAAAAGGGACAGAAATGGCTGTCCTGGGATACTGTGAGGGTCAGAGCTAGCCTTGCAAGGGCACTTTAAAGTTTGCAGTCCTAGGAGAGCCTGCATGCGGGAGCATCTTTCCCTGGGTCTGGTTGCTGGGGTCAGTGGTTTTGAGCGTGATCATCCAGGTGAACGAGGGGGTTAAGAATGGAGATTCCCAAGCCGTAGTGCTAGGGAATTGGATTCAGTGATTCCGAGTAGATCGAGGAACCTGCAGTTTGAATTCTCTGCGGTGGACTGACCAGGTCTCCGAGGATTTGGGGAAGCCACTGCCCACCACTCACAGTGACCTGAGAGCTCACCTCAAAGGGGACACCCAGCTTGGTCATATCTTTGGGGTGTAAGGAAAGATCCCAAACCAGTCAGCACGAGGGAGGCCAGCTGTGCAGGTGTGCAAGCTGGGAAAGGAGACAGCCACAGTGGGGGAGGGGAGCTGGACGTGCCTATTGTTGGTTTGTTTACCACGGGGTACTATCTAATTATGCTTGAGAGGCTGCTCACACTGAAGAGATTATTCATGCCAGTCCTGCACTCCTCTCTCCGCAGCTTGAAGCTTTCATGAGTCCCCACCCAGTAGAGACTGCACTTTATTCCCAGCAGCAATAACTGGCAACTTTTCAATGTGATACAAGGGTTTTTCATTAGAGCCACAAGGAAACCCCCAGATAGAGGAGGAGGGAGAGGAGACGGGTGTTAGCAGGAGATAAAGCAGCCTGGAGCCTTGGTCTCTGTCAGCAGCTCTGCAGGGTTGGAGACAGGGAGGTGGCTCTGGCAGCTGGCCTTGGGTGCAACTGCTCTGCTCGCCAGAGGTGACAACTGGGCTATCTCAGGTGGGCACCACTTCCCCTTGACGGATCTGGGTTTCCCGGGCCTGCTCCAGGTGATGGTGGTAATTAGCCAGAGGCCATCAGGCAAAGGACCGCAGCCCCCCTGAGAACAGGTACACATTGTTTTTCACTTAGTTCCCTGAGAACTGAAACTGGGGAGAGGGCAGGAGGGCTGGTGATCATAAAGGTCCAGTTCTAAAAAAGGCAAGAGTCAAGTCTGGGTCAAAGGGTGCAGCCAGACCCAGCTGGGAAGAGAAAAAGGAAACTTTGTGAACTGAAGGAGCAGAACAGAACAATTTAGGGGGTGGGTGCAGAGCCAGTCATCTGGGTTTGGATTCTGCCTCTGCCATTTTCTAACTGTGTGACCTTGCGCAATTTACTTCACCTCTCTCTGCCTCTGTTCCACCTCTTGAAAGGGGAGAGAGCAGTAGTACTTAACGAATAGGGTTCATGGGTGAATCCACGGCAAGAGCCTGATCCAGTCCTTGACACAGCGCATTCAATGAATGTGAACGATTGTTATTATTTTCCAGTGTGGTGCTTTGGAAAGGAGCAGAATTGCATGAACTGGGTGTGTGGTGTCCAGAGGAACAGAGGGCAGGCCAAGGAATGAGGCTGGCCTTGCAGATGGCAGTTCTGTGTTAGTGCAATTCTTCCCACCCTCTCTCTTTTCAGTCTCCAGCACAGAGAGCCCTGCAGGCTGCCAAAGGCTGGCTCTGCAGCCTGCAATCTGTGTGTCTCCCCTGGGTGCCTCCTATGGCACCACTAACCTGGCACCTTTGAGGAAGGAGGGGCCATACGTGAAGAGGTTGGCTGTCCTGCACAGACTTGCTTGGGTCATCCTGATTTCACCTATTTTGTCTCATTGTCCCCATGAGTGGTCAAATGTCCCCAAAATTGCAACATCATGGCAACCAAACTACATTTCCTGGAAGCAGCACAAAAGTCTGTCTGAAATGTCACACAATTTTTGCTTCAGAAAGTATGGTCCCTGCACACACAGATGAATTTTCCAAATAAATAATGCTTAACACCTTAAGCTTTTCATTTTAACTATGTTGAATGAAAATATTTCTTAAACATGCCCTTGCCTTCTTGAAGAAAGCACACTGCATTTCAGTTAAGTTTTCTGGATAACTCAGGGTCAGTGTTCTTATTTTGTGCTTTAAAACTCAGTCAGTGACCAGAATCAAGTGCCACAAAATGCTTCCCTTTCCCTAAACGGCCCCAGACCATTATGTTCTTTGAGTCTCTGTTGCTGGTTTGTCTTCTTGTTCCTGTCAGCATGGCTTATCTCCAGTAGCCCTTCTTCCTCGCTAAACAACTCCCATCTCCAGTAGCCCTTCTTCCTCGCTAAACAACTCCCATTTCCAACCTGTACCAGGCCAGGTGTATCAGTTAGCTATTGCTGAGTAACAAACCGCCTTAAAAAAAAAAAAAAAAAGCCTGAAAACTGAGTGTCTTCAAACAATATGCATTTACTACTGGTCACACATTTATGTGCCAGTCTGTGTGCTCACATGTCTACGTACACATGTCTGTGTCCACTGGGCCACCCTCTTGTCTGTGTGCCTCCATGGATTGGGTTGGCTGCTGTACTGATCTTGCCTGGGATCTCTCACATGCTTGGTTCAGCTGGTTTAGGATGACCTCAGCTGGGACCATTGGGCAGTCCTTCTCATGGTCTCCCATCCTCCAGCAGGCTAGTTTGACCTTGTTCACCTGGGGATAGTAGGATTCCAAGAAAGAGAGCAGAAGCATGCAAAGCTCCTTGAGGCTTGGAAGTGGCACTCTGACACTTGTGCTGCATTTTATTGACTAAAGCAAGTCACAATCTCAGATCAGATTCAAGGGCTGGGGAAATAGACTCCATTTTTATTTTTTATTTTTATTTTTTTTTTTAACATCTTTATTGGGGTATAATTGCTTTACAATGGTGTGTTAGTTTCTGCTAGACTCCATTTTTATAACTGATCTACCACACCAGAAAATCAAATAATCAAGTTCTTTAATCTCCATCCTAAAGCAAGAGGAAAGAGTCTTCATGAGGTGTGCTCTTCCAAATAACAGACAGTGAGTCTTGGGGCATAGAGTTTATTTCATTGTAGACTCTGCTCAGAGCCCCTTTTGGTCACTTATCTTACCTATGTTTCCTCAGTAGTTGAAATTGCCAAATAGATGAGGTCTTAGTCTTCTTTGCAAGAGTCCTCAAGGGGTCCACTTTTTATTCACTCCAGCCTTACAGCACTGGACAAACCAACTTTTAGAATGCAAAAATCTATATGTTTTAGTTCAAAATTGTCTGAAAAGTCTCTATATTTTGCTGTGTTTCCCCACCCTTAGTGGCACTGAGCTCCAGTCAGTCACTGCCTGGATCACACTGTGCTGCCCCACATGGAAAGATGGCTTTGTGTCATTTTATAACTGCTCCTGTACTCGGCTCATCCTTACCCCATCCCTGGGAGCCATTTGTGCATCACAGCTGACTGCTGAATTGATTTTTTACCATCACCTTGCTTGAGCATGTCTGAGATCACTGCTGCACCCTGAAATTGGAGCTGGTTCCTCCTCTGCTTCCTGGCCCTCTGTGATCAGAAATGTAATTAATGAAATGAGATAAGACAGCAAGGGACTGC